CACGATCCCGCAGGCCCTCCTCCTCCTCCCGCGGGCTGCTCCGTCTCTGGCGGTACAGCCAGTCGTGGGGACGCGCCGCCCGGGAGGCATCCAGCGCAAGCAGCAAGAGCAGCAGCCTTAGCGGCATCCCGAGGCTCGACGCTCCACTTTCCTGGAGAGCTGCTGGCGCCCCGCTCGGCCTCCGCTGCACTCCCGCCGGGCAAAGATAGGAGTCTGGCAGATGAGCGAGCGCGAGGGAGGCTGAGCCCGAGACGGAGGGAGCGTCGCGATGCTGCGCTGCGTGGGAAACAACGTGTCTGAGCCTCCACGCCCAGTTAAGGAGCAGCGCTGCCCTCTGCCGGCGCTCCTCGGCGGGTTTGCTGGATGCCGAAGAGCGGAGCAGACGCACGGTGCGCTAATGCTGCTCCCGTAGCAGACGAGACTGCGCAATTTAGCCGTGTGAAGAAAGCGTGGCCGAGCAATTGTCAGCCCTTGGATAACAACACCTCGCTCACGCCATCGGTTTGAAGACTTTGAGTGCCACCTTCTGAGAGAGCCTCGCGAATAATCCAGCTCCCAACCCCTTTCTAAGGGGCAGTCATCGAATAGCAAGGAATGTCAAACCACGTTCCTCTGATAATACGAACGGGTAATATTTGAACTTGGTGGATAATTATCTCGTGAGGGGTAGATAATACAGGGAGGTTACTAGTTCTTGGAAAGATTCAGACTTGGACCCATTTCATTTGTACTCGACTGTTCCTCAGAGCTCAGAATGTCCTAAATGGCTTCCATCTGTGATTACATCCTTTCAACAACCTTCTAAAGTAGGGTACGCTGAGAACAGCAGGATTTAGCATTTCAGTTTTCACTATTGTTGTCAAGCCTGAAAAAAAACAACAGCCTTGCAAGATAAAGATTCCGCTGTTCCAGCTTTAGCGTCTTACTGTTAATAAGAGGCAGCCCTGAATACTTCCACCAGAAGAGCAAGTAGAAAATATGATGGAACCAAGGTACCAATCAGAAAGCAATCAACATTATGGCTATTGTACACTTCTTTTGGGTTAGATAAATTTTATTATGGTCCAAGACTAGTACAAAAGTACAAAAGCAGGATCCAAAAGTACAATTAACAGCTTAGTAGCTTAATTCATGGTGTCCTTCTGTTAAAAAGGCTGGATATACATACCTTAAAATTATTGTCAAGAGCTAGGTGACAATAATGAGGATTCATTAAATTAATTTTCTTCCAGCAGCCTATTGCAATTGTCATCGATTCACCTTAAAACCCTGAGTAAGAATTCTGCACCATAAATATGTTCCTGTGCAAGAAAAACTAAAAAAGAAAAGTGCTATTTCATAACACGTGTAATCTACTACACTACAAGCTACTTTATTTAATTGCAGTTTTTAAATGTTCCAGCAAGAATCAATTCTAAGAGAAATACAAGTCCCATGCTGTACATCAAAATAAAAATATAACAAAGCCAATGTACTGCCATATAACACAATAATATTGCTTATATAAGATCCTATTACGCTATATCTATTTTGAATCATGTCTTAAATATAATTTATTTCTCCATATTGTTGAATTATTACGGATTATTATTGACAATATATTGTAAATAATTATCAGATTTAAATAACTTTTGACTTTTGTTTTCTGAATTATTTTACTGTCCTTATTCTTAAGGTTTTTCCTACACAATCATAGTTTCTAGAACTACAATATTTACTCTTATCAATAGAATTAATATAGTGTCATTAATACATTACATTTAAGCACAATTTATCAATTCAATTTTCTAGGTTTATGTAACATATTAAACCATTAACCATCATATAGGCAAAGTTTATACAGGTAAGTCCTTGACTTGTGACTACAAATGACCCCAAAATTTCTGTTGCTAAGCAAGGCAGTTGTTAAGTGAGTTGCGCCTCATTTTATGACTTTTACCAGTTAAACGAATCACCGCTGCTCGCTGCTTCCAGCTTACCACTGCCAAGTCGCCTCTGCCAATTCACTGCCGCCAAAGAACGCACAGCCAACTCACCATGGGGACAACTTACTGTGGGTGGCTGGAGAAATGGATGGGTGAGCAAGTGGTGGCCAGGGGTTTTCCATTTTCACACCCCCCCACTGTTGCCATGCTGAACTCCAGATTGAAAAGACTGGGGACAGTGACAGCAGTGGTAGGTGGGGCAGGTGGTGGCAGCAGCCAGGGATGTCCCATTTTCACACACACAGCGCTGCCACTGCCACTGCACTGAGCTCCAGGATGAAGAGGTCAGGGACAGTGGTAGCGTGTGGAGCAGGCGGCACGCAGATGATGGCGGCCGGAAGCATCCCATTTTCATACATACCCTTGCAGCCCCACTGCTGCTGAGCTTCAGGCCAAAGAGGCCGGGGACAACGGTGGGCAGGGTGGGTGGTAGGGAAGCAACAGCAGCCAGGTGGAGAGGCGTCCCATTTTCACACATACACACACATGTACTGCCACCGCCATCTCCAACCTCTTTGGCCTGGAGCTCCACATGGCAGCAGTGATGGCAGTGGGGTATGTGAAAAAGGGATGACCCTGGTCACCACCCAAAGTCTAATGAAAAAAGTTCAGCACAACAGCAGCATCGAGGTGTGTGAAAATGGGATGCACCTGGCCGCTGCATCCTCCCTGCCCAGCCCATTGTACCACCATCCCTGGCCTCTTAGGCCTGGAACTCAGTGGCAGCAGCAGTGGGGGTGTGTGTGAAAATGGGAAGTCTCTGGCTGCCACCGCTGCTCTGTGCTTTGCCCACCCACTTGCTTGCCTACCCGCTTGGCTCTCCCTCCAACTGGTCGTGGCAAGTTATGCGTGTATAGTTGTCCTGTGGAAACTTGGCAGCGGTAAATTGGCAGAGGTGACTTGGTAGTGGCAAACTGGTAGCAGTGAGCTGATCACACTGAGTTGGCCACAGCAAATTGACCCATTCTAATTTATGGAATGCTGGGATCGAATATTCCAGAGGGAATGAAATTTGGGGAATTTTTTGCTGCACTGCTGCTATTTAACATTGCTGCCACACTGCCAAAGTCAGCTACAGTCATGTGATCCTCATTTTCAACATTCCTGATAGTTTCTCACAAGTCAGTGGGGAACCTGGAAAGAATTGATATAATTGTTGGAAAAAAGTCAATGCAGAAATGTTCCAGTCCCTCTGAGCTTGCACTGTGCTGACCACTTGTGCATTGCTCCCTCCGCCTCGCAGCAGCTGACACTTACCTGCCTGCTGGAAAGGGAAGAGGAAGGGAGGAACAGGAATAGAAGAGGGAGGGAAGTAGGGTGGATGGAAAGGATGGAGGGAAAGGAAGGAACAGGAAGGGAAGGAGGAAAAAGGGAGATAGGAAGGGAGGAACAGGGAGGAGGGAGAAAGATAGATTTCCATTGGTTGATTGCTCTGTTAGGAATTTTCTCCTTAGTTCTAGGTTGCTTCTCTCCTTGGTTAGTTTCCATTCATTGTTTCTTGTCTTGCCTTTTGGTGCTTTGGAAAATAGTTTGACCCCCTCTTCCTTGTGGCAGCCCCTCAAATATTGGAACACTGATATCATGTCTCCCCTTAGTCCTTTTTTTTTCATTAGACTAGACCTATCTGATTCCTGTAACCATACTTAGTATGTTTTAGCTTCCAGACCCTTAATCATTTTTGTAATCATTCTAATAAGCTTTGGCTGGAAATGACCAGTTTATACGGATTAGGATATTAATAGCCCTTGGGCCTTGCAAGCCCAGTAGGTTGAATCAGGATCATGGCCAAATTAATTCAGAAGCCCCCGAGAATAAGTTAAATAGCACAAGAATAAGTTAAATAGAACTACAAGATCTAGATTGTAAAAATCAGAATATCCATTAGATGGTAGAAACATTTTCAATACTGCATTTGCTTGCTGATGTCCAGATTTAGGCATGACTTCTTATATCAAAAAATGAAAGAAAACTTCAGGCTAACCTTGCCTTTTGATTTGTAGGCAGGCAGATAAAAAGTGAACTTACAAGGATCTGCGGCTGCATTGTAGGAGGTATTTTCATCCCTCCATTCTAATTGATTTGGAGAGATGAAATGAGAGCAATAATGGGTGAGAGAAGCTAAATCTTTTGGTAATCTGTTTTGTTAAATATTTAAAAGCTCAAGAAAGTGTAACTACCTCAGGGATGACACTCTGACATGGGATCAGTGAGCAAGTCAGGTACCCAAAGTTCCGACCAGATGTAGCTATAGTTAATGTTTGTCATGTAAATTCAACCATAACGTGACTTAGTTTAGTATCTGTTAGAGCTTTTTCGGAAAATTATTGCTAAACTCCACATAGCTCTTGTCTGAAATTGGTTAGATTTGCAGCACATACTATCTAAAGACTAATAAATTATTGTTTATTCGCATGTTCTGGTTGTTTCAAGTTAAATGTAGAAACCCGGGCAGAGAGTCAGTTCGGTACAAGAAAGCCAAATTAAGCATCGTTAAGACACCAGGCTAGAACCCGGAAGACCGAGAGTTCTAGTTCCGCTTTAGCTGCAAAGCCAGCTGGGTGACCTTGGGTCAGTCGCTCAGGTCTCTCAACCCCTAAGAAGGCGGCAGTGGCAAATCGCTTCCGAAATCTTGCCAAGAAAACTGTAAGGATTAGTCCAGGTAGTCGCCAGGAGTCACCACCGGTTCGAAGCCACACGCTCACACATTTAAAAAAAAAGAAAGAAACCCAGGCACCTAAAGTATCATTCGGTTAAATTTGACTTTGTACGTTGCGGAAGAACTGACATTTTCTTCTTAATTCGTAGGGAAACAGAGTTGCTACGCAACCGTGCCTCCGCCGATAAAACCTTATACTTCATCTCCTTAAATCGAAGACCGACCCCTCTTAGGCGGCGGAAGACGATAGCGCGCTCTTCATGTCACGTGGTACCAAGGTCGTTCCTAATTGGCTAAGTGAGCCGCCAACTACGACAGACGCGCCCTCTGATTTGACGGGATCAGTTTCCGTTGGAAGTGAAGCGGAAGGGACCCAGGTGGCGGCATGGCGGCGGTTGTCGTGTGCGGCGCTCGGCGCCTGGCGGGGCGAGCGGCTTTTCTCTTGTCCGGGGCTTCGCGGCGGTAAGAGGGAGAAGATGGAGGCGGCGCTTCTCTTTTTTTTTTTCTTTCTGGGAGAGGAGCACGGCTGGGAATCATCAGGCGACTATATATACCTGGCGTCTCTTTTCGAGCAGGGCCTCTCGGTCTTTAGGAAGGCGAGCTAGCCAGTCTTCCCAGAGTGGCGTGTACCTCAGGGACGGCTTCCAACCAAATAAGACATTTGGAGGAGTTGGGAAAGTGCTTTGCCGAGAGAACCGGAAGGAAGGGAGGTGGCCGGGTAGAAAGGCCTGTCCTGTAAGTGACGAAACGTGGGTGTAGAGCTGGGCCACTTTCTTCTTGCGAAGGTGGGAGAGATGATACGATCTTCCCTGGTTTTGCTTTTCGGATTTTCTCGGCGATGCTTTGAGAGAATATCTTTTAAGTTTTTGAAAAGCTCGTGTGTATCAAGAAATGCTGTTTACTAAATCTCTTCAAAACTAATTTAAGGGCTCCAAAAGACACAAGCAAAAGGTAGTGTTTTAGCCCAGCAGGCAAGCCAGTCTTATGGATTACTTCTTTCTCCTTCCACTCCTCTTTTTTTTCAATTTTACCTCATGACAGTTTTACTGCCCAAAATAGGAAAAATTAGGTTTTTAAAATCCCGGACTGCATGTAAAGCAGGAAATTAAATAGTTTGCTTGGTCATAGTGAAAGGACCTACCGTAAATGTCCATAGTATATAATGGTCACTCAGAATAACTGTTGGTATCTGGGCTTTATTGAGAAATACGGTACTGTAGTAAATAAAATACAGAACTGACTGTGAAAGAAGATGGAATAGGCCAAGGATTGGATTGAAATAAAATGTTGCCTGATATATATTATTTTAAGGGTTAAATTCTTGTTTGTTTTAATGTTATGTTAATATATTATACCCAAAGCTAAAACCATTCTTCCTGTTTTCTTATTTTTAAAAGCCTCCTAAAGTAGGTCATATTAAAAAAAAGAAAAACTGGATAGTACTAATGAAAGACTGTAAGCAGACTGGAATAATGTCCACTTTTGCTAAAATAGGCATGGAATTTGAATAACAGAACAGTTCAGGTCTCTGGGATGGAATAACCTTTTGAAATAGAATGATGGGTGTAGGACTAGAATAAAGCTTCTAGAATCATGTTGGGGTCTACAGTGGTCATAGTAAACTTATCATAGAAAAGTGCTTTTGTAGATGATGTGACGACAGGTTTAATGTCAGTATTTTTTATTTTATTTTAATAATTGGAGAAGTAAATGAGAATTGTTACATCAAATAAAGGACAACTGTTTGATTGCACAAGAGGGCACTTGTTGATCCAAAAAGCGGACCCTGTACCTGCAAGAAAAAAAGTGATGATGATGAAAGTACTAATTTTAATACAAGGATAAGTGATCTCACAGAGAGACTTAATTTGTATGCCATTGGCAAAAAAACCACATTAGTTAAGTGGTTTGGGGTCAGAGTTTGTTAAGCAGCATATTACCAGTTTTTCTAATACAAAACATCTTTTTTCTTGCTCTAAAATACTCTGGATTTGTATGCACTCATCCCTATTTTTTTAGAATTTTACTGATTCTGATCTTGTTTTAGGTCTACTCAGCTGCTTTGCACAATGACCCAGGAAAAAAGCACTGGACCAAATTTGGAAGAAGAACAAAGCCAGAGGCACAATGAACAAAAACCTGATTCTTGCTCTGGTACAAATATATTAACAGAGGAAAAGACTAAACTGGAAGAGCAATTAAAGGAAATAACTGTAAGAATATTTATTTATTGTAGGAAAAACAATAATTGTTTTGTATCTTAATGGAGCTGAACCATATGTCACAGGGTGTGTTCATTTTTTAAAGCTAACACTGGGCATAGCCAACCAGCCACAGAATGGTTGCTTAACAAAAAATAAACTGGTGATATTACTCTCTGCCTCCATTCCCTTCAATATCATTTTGGTCTACTTTGGGGCAGATGAATAGATTTCCAAATGTCAGTCTGCAATCTCAGTTTTATTATGGAAGATTGCCTGTGAGGACTAGAATCATTCTTGGAAATAGGTCTCCTGCTTAAGCAGGGGGTTGGATTAGAAGACCTCCAAAGTCCCTTTCATCTTTCTCATTCTGTAATACTGTAATAAGGATGTTACTGTTTGGGATCATGCCTGCTTTTTTTTGTTTTTAAAATAAAATACTACAAATCGGGTATGATAGAGATGTATGCGTATAGTCAGCCTACTTTCTGCTCCTGATTTTACTGAATTGTAGAAATGTACAGGTTATCCTTGTTTAAGACCATAATTGAGCCTAGCAATTACAATCATAGGTCATGACAGTGATAAAGTGGATCATGTGACCTGATTTTACAAGTCTTTACAGTGGTTAAGTGAACATCCCGGTTAAGCAAACTCATTGTTTATGATGGGTGGTTTTCTATCTGTGATGGTCCTCTTCCACTGAATGTACAGCTTTGGGAGGGACACACATGGAGTAGTATGGAGGAAGGGGTTAGGGTTAGGGTGCAACCGATCCCTAGTGCCCAAAAGGTTGGGGGCCTCTGAGTTAAGTGAAAAGTCAGAGTTCTGGAAGACAGTTTAATGCAGGGGTCTTCAAACTTGGCCCTTTTATGACTTGTGGACTTCAACTCCCAGAATTCCTCAACCAGGCATGCTGGCTGAGGAATTCTGGGAGTTGAAGTCCACAAGTCATAAAAGGGCCAAATTTGAAGACCCCTGGTTTAATGCTTTACAGGTAGGCCTCAACTTATCACCACAATTGGGACCGGAACTTCTGTTGCTAAATGATGCAATCATTAAGTGAGTTGCACCTGAATTTAAAAAAAATTATCACAGTCATTAAGCAAATCATGTTTGTTTGTTTTTTTTAACAAATCCAGTTTCCGCCATTGACCCTCTGGGAACATCAGAAATAGTGATCATGAAACCCCAGGATGCTGCAACTGTCATAAATACATGCTGGTTGCCAAGTGCCTAAATTTTGATCGTGTGACTGCAGCAATGCTATATGATCATAAGTTTGAGGACTAGTCATAAGTCATTGTTTTCAATGCTGTTGTAAGTGAATGGTTGTTAAACAAATGGTCTCAAGTTGAGGATTCTCTGTATCATGGTTAAAAACTAATTCCAATGCCATAGAAAGATGTTTCCCATTGCTTCCAGTTTTAAAGAAAGGACATATAGGAGTGACTGGACAATCTGCTAAGCAACCTTGGGCAACAGGATCACATCTGGAACAAGTAGAATTTTTAGTTTATGTGAATAAGAATTTTAATTAATGATTAGTCGCAGTGCAAACTAAAATTTGTGATTCTTAAAATCACTTAGCAACATAGTCCCTGGTCCAAATTATAGTCTTTAACTGATGACTGCCTGTATCTCTGCAGGTAGAGTGAGTTCTTATACAGCTAGTCCTTGACTTTCAGCCATTTATTCAGCAATTGAAGTTACGATGATGCTGAAGGAATGGTGGTTATGACTGGTTCTCAGAGTTCCAGTCATTCCAGCACCCCCACAGTCATGTGATCACAATCTGAGCCTATGGCAGCCAGCTGGTACAACCAGTTGCAGCACCCTGCAATCATCTGGCCACTATTTGCAATCTTTCCTGCCGGCTTCCCAAGAAAATAAGTGGGGAAGTTGAGAGGGAATATCGCAAGTTACTCAAATAAGTCTCCATCTGTGTACCCTCCACTAACCTTTCTGTGCTTGGAACACACTGGCCACCTGTGCATTCCTGCACATCCTGCCCAACTGTACCACATCTCTCTTGTGTATTTTTTCTCCAATCCTTGCCACAGTTCCTTTGCACCCTCCCAAACTTCCATTGTGTCTCGCTCACACATTCCCCAACCCACACTGCACCTTTCTCACATCATGCATCCCTTTGCACTCTCCTTGGCCCTCGCATTACCCCTTAGCCTCATGCACCCACTAGACCCTTGCCATGCTACCCCTGCACACCATCCCCAACCCACACCTTCATGCACCCTCCCTGACTTGCACCTTCTCTCAGAGCCTTTCCTGCATCCCTAGGCACCCTCCCCAGCCTCACTGGGTACCTCCCCTGCATTCCTTTGTACCCTCTTCCACCGGGCAGCAGCCACTTACCTGCTTGTGAGTTGCCTGGGATCACAATTTCCTCCCAGCTTTCCTGCTGACTTGTTTGTGGGAAGGTGGCAGGATGTTGCATTACCTAACAATCATAGGATAATATTATGCTAAGTGATGATGGTTTGTAACTCATTGTTTAATCAAATCAACCATAAACTCATAGATCAACCATAAAGTCAAAATTGGCCATAAACCATAACTTGGTGTGTGCAAAACAAAGCAACATTATGTGCAATATAAGAAGTGATGTATTATGTCTCTCCCATCATCCTATTTAACATACAAATTGCTGCAATAGTAGTTTTATATTTTTAGCCAGGTATGATTGATATACCTCACTGACAGTGTTCACACTGCATCTTAAGTCACAACAAAGGGTTAATGAGAGTAGATTAATGAGAATGTATGCATGTCCATCCTATCCTCCATTGCTTGGGATTCATTAACTAGGATTGAAAGTTTAGCATGTCTTCTGAACCTAAAGTAACACATATTTGGGACTTCCAAAATAATCAGAATAAAATACAATTAAAAACCTCACTCGAAAAGTTAAATGGATATAAATGGGGATGGAATGAGAGGAGTTCTATAATTTGACTGACTTTATATTTCATCTTGTGTCGTTACACTTCTTTTTTTGTTCTAGGATAAATATAAACGTGCCCTGGCAGATGCAGAGAATCTGCGGCAGAGAACTCAGAAATTGGTAGAAGAAGCAAAATTATATGGTATATTCATATTTTGCTTATTGGAATTAGAATGCAGGTGCAAGCCCGAACATACAGATTTTGACTAGGTTTATCCATACATCAATTGAATGCTCTTGGTTCAATGTGTGAACTCAGTTATTGTAAATTGTTAACGATGGTCCATGGTGTTGTATATTGTACAAGCCAACCAATTATAGTTATAAAATACACCATAGTTACTAGTGTTCTTTTTATTCATGTAGTAGTCATTAATTAAAACTATTTAGTTTTCTGCTGGGACTGTAATCAGTGCTTGATTTTCTTTGGTTTGGGCTTTGTAAGAATTGGAAACAAAAAGATATGAAAACTGGATTCTTTTTTTAAAAAAAAACTAGGAAATAATTTCAGAAAATAAGGATTTTGTCATCTGCAATGACAAACTGCATTTGCCTAATAATCTTTAGCACAGATCACCTGGTATTCTACAGAGGAAAAAGTAGAGTGCAGCTATTTTACCATATAGAAACTCTGTTATAATTTGGAGCTGAGTCTGGAAAGACTTAAATTATTGGTAATGTTTTCATTAATTTAGTTGTGGTTTTAAAAAATATCAATTGATTGGATCTATATTTAAAAAGTCATACTGTAGTCCCACTGAAATGAATGTACTTAGTTATGATAACTTGTTCTGATGTGCAGCATGATCATGATTCATTCTGGATGTAGCTGATTCTCAGCTTCAATTTATTATAGTAAAATCAAAATGTAGTGAAAATACACTTTCAAATGCCATTTTTACATGTGGTTGAAATATTCATCTATATTTTAAGGATTGACTATAATTTTACTATGGTTTTGCACTCTAGGAATTCAGAGTTTCTGCAAGGACTTACTGGAAGTTGCTGATGTTCTGGAAAAAGCAACCGAGTCTGTTCCCAAAGAAGAACTAAAAGATGAAAACCCCCATTTGAAAAATCTTTATGAAGGTCTTGCCATGACTGAAGTTCAAATACAGAAAGTGTTTAAAAAACATGGATTGGTGAAATTGAATCCTCTTGGAGCCAAATTTGATCCTTATGAACATGAAGCATTATTTCATGTCCCCACAGAAGGGAAAGAACCGGGCACTGTAGCTTTAGTATCAAAGGTTGGCTATAAATTGCATAGCCGTACTTTAAGGCCTGCATTGGTAGCTGTTGTGAAAGAACAATAGCAGTCTAATCTGAAAGAATTAATAAGCATCACATAGATAATAGTTAGAGTTCTTAATAATGCCCCATTATATAGAGGTGATTTATCAAATGAAATGGGATACAGAGGAAAATAACGGATGGGTGATAAAGCATATAGAGCAATGTGAAAATGTTTTTCAATGAATGTATATAATGTGGAGACAACGCAAACTACAAACATAAATTACAGCATCAAATTATATATAGTACCTTTTCATTAATGTAAGTCCTCAAGGATAGCCTGCCTAATAACCAGGCAACAAGAAGAATGCCATATAGGTATTTCCACATTGAAATCTTTCAAACTGTTTGTGTCATCTTGTTTATGCTTCTGTTCAAGCCCTATCCTAAGCTGCGATTGCGCTGTGGTGGAACAAAGATGGTGGCAAGATATACATGCACAACCAATAATGCAGTGAGATCACTGGAAACCATTCCTTGGTGATGCCACTTAGCATCTCATAAGTGCTTTAAAGGTGTCAGAATAGTATGATGCTAAAGTAATATACAATTAATCTAAGTATTGTTAATTGTTCACTGCTTACCTTTAAACAGACAGTTGTTTTGCATCACTAAGAATAGAAGACATTATTGGAAACGAGCAAAATGAACAGGAGGTATAGATGACTATGACATGCAGCTATATATAAATGCCTTTGAAAATTGACTCCTGCTCGAGTGGGTCAGCTTTCCTCTTAGATTTCAGTCCTCCTGTAAGAGCACAGCAGCTTGTCTTTTCTTTCCTCCTTTGTCTTCGTGTCGTCTCGTTGCAATCTTGTTCCTCAGTTTTCTTCCCAATGAAGTTACCATCTCTTTTCTATTTTTCCTAAAGGGTGGGAAATGGTGTCATGGACATCTCTTTGTATGAATGGTCTGTATGTAAGAAGTAGTTGGTATATGCAGAGGGGGATCAATAATTTTTAACTGTAGTGTCTTGCATTTAATTTTGACAATGACTTTTTGTCTTGATTGTGCCCTTTTGGGGTGAAGTAGTAAAGGTCATATATTGTAAATTGATATATTTGATATATTATTCATCTAACTCAATGAGAGATCCCGTGTTAAAAGTCGCACAAAATGAGGTTTCATCAGGCTGAAAAAAGGTACTGCTTCAGGAACAGTGGTATTTGTACTTCTGTTACTTTATTAGTAAGAAAGTGTTAAATAGGACTGTAATTGGTGACTTGTATTCACTGGTGTATGCAATTTTCCCTAGCTATTGAATTCCATCATAAAATGCAAGCACCAGAAAATGACAACATATGATCTTTAATGTTAAAAATTGTTTTGTCATATCTCCTTACTATTGGAAGAATTTTGTTATTTTTTTTAGATTAAATTGTACCTGCATGCATTATGTTGCCAGCCCCCATGTGTACGATAAGCTATTTGTGACATACCTACGGTTTGCAGAATGATATAGATCTATCATTATCGACTGCAAGTATATTTTAGTATTATCCTTCTCCTGAATGTATACTAAATTGGCATGTTAACAGAAAAACTTTCATCACTAAAGTAGAGATTACTGATATGCAATATGTACAGTTGCATGCAAAAGTTTATGCATGCCTAATCAAATTATATATTGCAATGAAATAGTGAACATAAGTTGAATTTTGAATGCACTTTCTATGCATAATGTTGGGACACTTTTAGATGTCAGATCTGTTCAGATGCAGAACTGTCCTAAACATACACCCAAATTAACCATGAAGTCCTTGTAGGAAAACAAAGTTAATGGTTTTGGAATGGCCATTGTTCTCAGACTTGAAATAAACATTTGCATACAGATAGACCTAAGAATATTTCTAAGTTTAAAGACTTATGCAAGAAGAGTGAGGAAAAAAGTAATCCTAGAAGCTGTTACTTCTAGCAAAGGTGCTTGAAATTCTAGCGGAAAGGATACTCAGTTATGCATCTGCCATATTCACTTTTTTTAAAAAAAAACAACTGCATATGCACAATGTGCATTCAGATTTGCAGAAAGATGCTGTGTTTAAATTGTACAAGATAATTGTTTTGTTGGCTTCTGTTCATTTAGAGATTCACAGATGCATACAATTTATTCTGAACTTTTCCATGCAACCGTATAGTGATTCTGATTTCTAAGATTGAGAATACAAGAAATTTTAATGTATCTCAAAGCACATTTACTAGTAATTAACTGACAAATGAGTTCTTCTGCTGCACATGTAGTAAATTATGTATTCAAAAGATGTTTAGGAATAAGCTTAACAAAAAGCTATCAAGACTCATTATCCAGCAAAGTGAGTAGACCAGAAGTACGGTTTTAGTAATGGATAGTTTATCAGAATCTTGCCTATGTATAACTGAGATTGTTTGTACCCACCAATATAAAAAAGTGTCTCTTTCCTTTTTAAGTAGTTTGTGGGGGAATATGGGAAGCACGGGTATTATAAAGACCACTAAGAAAGTAAAAAAAACTTGCAGTTATAGTGTTGAAAAAAGTAGCAGGAAAGGAAATACAATCATTTCAGGACAACCGCCAATGCCTTTTGTCAACTGCTACATTGCTAAAACATCTTGAAGCACACAGCATCATACACTAATCACACTGTGATCACCTGTTATATTCATGTGTACCTTGGTAATGTGTACGTTTTCTATTTTGGGATTCTTGCCCAAGATGGAAAGTGTGTTTAAACAAGACTTCCGGGTTAGATGTCATGGCGTGGGACGGGGCTCCGTTTTCCACATCCGATTTCGCTCTGCTGGGGACTCTAAAAAGGGTTTAAAGTCACCCCGGAGAGGCGACGAAGGGGACCCTCATTGATCGCAGAGTGGTGGCAGCCCTTCCGTTTGATCCAAAGAAGCTCTTCAAACCAGCAGAAGACTGGCCAAGAACCCAAAATAAGCACTAATTAGCAACCTTTGAACAATACAGATGGAACTGGGTGAGAACGTAATCCTCTCTTTATAATTTTAAAACTTCCTGGAAAAAAATTCCCAAAGAGAAGAATACCCCCAGATGATAGAGAGAAGGGGAATTTCCCCCCTTTTCTCTCAGGAAAAGAGAAGCAGCGAATAGCTTTCTTTGGGGGGAAATTAGAGAAAACCACAAGATTAATTTGGATTTAATATAGAGGCATAACTTTGACAAATTTGGGGATTAAAAGTATTTTTAAGACTTTCTTTTTGGAAAAGATATTTGGAAAGTTGGTGAAATAAGTTTGGACTTAAAAGTTGGAAGATGGATGTTAACAACCTCTAGTGGTGAACTTTGGCATTACAATTTATTATGCTTAAAGAAAATTTGACACAAAGCCTGGACATAGATAAGGCTTTGTTGTTCCTGGAAACTTTCATTTTTGCAGACTGCAGCTGGGAAAAGGGGGAAAAAATCATTGGGCTGTTTTATCTGTATGAAGGAGACAATAAACCATTCTGAATTGGCCGGCCTGGATTACAAATATTGACTTTTAGTTTCAAGAATTATCAAGAAATATTAAGAAACAGTGGGAAAGTTGCTTCGGGACTATTTCTCTTTGGAAGAAACATGGATAATCAACAAGAAAATGTAAATGGACTTCAGAAAAAAATTCCTTCCATATTGAAATCAATTCAAGAGACAATTGTTTTAAATTATGAGACTAAAAATAATTTAAATCACATAAATGAGCAACTCTCCAACTTAAACTTGCAAGCAAAAAACGTTCAGTAAATGACCATACAGAATGAACTAGCAACTCAGATACCAGAAGAAAAAATAGAGGAAACTGATATAAAGACAGAGGATTCGAAAGAAGAAACCAACAGACAGGTACAGATAGATAAAAATTTCGAAGACCCAGATATAACACTGGAAATGGGAAAGACATTTTACTTTTCAAGACTTCAGAACATATTTGAGGATAAGGAAGAATTGATAGAATGGATGAGAGAGCTGTTAGGAGAAATGGTGAAAACTGGGAAACAAGAAACTAAAAGCGAAACTGCAGAAGAAAATGGAAGCTATTTAACGAATATAAATGGATTAAGCATTTTTACAAAAACACTAATTGCCTTTTTTATTCCAAATAATATGTACAGAAACAGGAAGAAATACTTGGTGACCTAAATGCACTGACTTGCAAAGGAAGAAAGCTAGAGTAAGACTGAAAAAAACAGAGGTCCTGACTAATTAGATGAGGTATTATATCATCTAATGGATGTTTGAATATGATTAAAATAGACAATTGTTAGAAATAAAAGGACCATTATAAATTAGAAGGATGTGATTTGTAACTAGGATAACATAATTTTCTATAAAATGGGAAATATGAAAATACTAAGAGCGTCTGTATAAGGAAAGCTGCTGTTAGTTACCCAAATGTAATTATGAGAAAAATGATAATTGATAGTTATTTTGAATATTGATGGGACATTAAAATTGAAAAAAAAAAGGATATGGATTGAATAAGGGAACTTTGATTGCAAATACATTTGAGATATGTTTTGGCTAGAGAAGATATTATAAACTGATACTGACACTATGCATAATATTAGAAACATGTTATGAAGATGTTTATATTTAATTGTATAGGTATTAATAGCAGTAAGAATTATATTTGCATAGTGTGGAAAAATTATTGGAAGAAGAGAGGACCAGGGAAATACTGGATGGTGTAGTATTGGATATTTTGAGTGAAAGTTAATATGTACCACTGAATGATAAAGGAACCCAGACACCAAGTTGTTTATTATGTACTTATGATTGTAAAACTTGAAATTAATAAAATATTTATATAAAAAAGAGTGTTTAAACAAGTGTTGTATTTGTATTTAACAAATGCAAACCTGAAGAACAGCATAGGTTGATAAGTCACAAGGAGAGTTGCTTAAGAATCTTCTGTCAGTATATACCAATTCTCATAAACACTTTATCATTCCCATTTTCTCAGTTGATACTTATATTTAAATAAAACCACAAAAAAATTCCTTTCATTTTTCAAATTGTGTAGAAGTGGAACATTAGTACATATATTAAAGCAGTTCACCCACCCACCCCTATGTTTTACAATCAGAATGCCTGTTATTTGCTGAAAATCATTTTCAATGATTCTATGCAAGCTAGATTGTGGAGCTCGTCTACGCGTTTTCATCATGTGGTGTGCTGTGTTAAACCATTTTATGTTACTCAGTTTTGCATTCTCTGCTCTAGTGGCAATGTAGCAGAACGCCTTGGTTTGTGAAAAAAAAGGTAACAAACTTGTAGTATACATTTCCAATATGAAATAGTAATTTGTGTTAGTAGGACACATAAACAACCTGATCTGATGGTCTTACTTGACAATAAATACTACTCAATGTAGTGGGGTATACTTCCAAGTAAATGTGTGAAGAATAGCAACCTTAACCCAGTATCATGTCTAAAATACAAGTTTTTTCAGCAGAGGTAGAGTTCAGCAAGTATTGTCAGAGTTTCACATCTCACTTCTGATACACTGGTAAAATGAATCACTTCACCCACAGTGTGTTGTTTTAAGGTAACATGTAAAGTGGTTCATAAAATAAGATCTAACATGTACATGATCCATTACAGAAAAATCCAGTTGTTAAGGAGTGAGTTTTTTACAAGATCCTGGATGTTTTTAAAAAAACTGGTAACTAGATCAATGGCGAATGTTGGTTCCTCTGTTGATACTGATACTATTTCAAAGTAGTCAAGATTTAAGAAGCATCCCTGGATATCCAACCACTTTCTGTCAAAAAATTCAAAATCCTTTTTTTTAGTATCTTATCCAAGTAACTAGGAAGGCGACTTTTTGAGGGAATGCCTTGCCTTTTTTGGAGATGATCTTTAATAATTATAGTTTTAACAGTCACATAGCGTGCTGGACTCAGATTAATAGAGTTACAAAGTACTTTTTCTCGGTCAGATAAGAGTTCAAAACCAGGAAGATTTTCAATTGCAGAGAATTCTCCGTCTTTACCCTCCTCCTTTCCTCTTTTAGAAGTACCAATATTTTTATTTTCTTTCCTTTTCTCTCGTTTATGTCTAGCTGCTTCATATTCTGCAGATTCTTCCATTTTTGTTATGCCATTTCGGCGATAACGCTGGAGTTCTCTTATTTTTGTTCGAAGAACCTTTTCCTTGTGCAGATTTTCAAAGAAATCATCAAATTCTTTGCAAGACATAAACTGGTAAAGAGACCTCAGTTTTAACCTCAGTTCCTTTTCTTCTTTTGTAGTTTTGCGTTTTGAAGGTTTTTCTTTATCTCTCCTATCCTTGCCCAAAAATGCAGGAACCAAGTTGTAGTCACGAGCAATGTTCTTTCGCCGCTGCCTCTCTTTCAGTTTTCTTACATACATATCCACATGAGCTCTTTTTAATTCTATTTCTACATCATCATCATCATAATTAACTGAAAGGCCACTAATTAGGGTCTCAGCATCTTGATCATACTCAATCTCATAATCATCTCGAAGTGGCATGTATCCAAGCTGTTGTTGTTCAGCCACTGATATATCTAAAGGTGGCAGAGGCATGGTAAGGCTAGGAGAAAGTGGACCACCACTTGGGCATGTATGATCAGTCACTCTATTAGGAATAATGTCAGGAATGCAGGCTTTTCCGAGATTTCCATGTATGTACATGCTCACATAGTGCTCCATAACTTCTTGAGGAGTTCGTGATGCTCCAACATGAGTAGCCATATCTTCCTACAATAGAGAAAAACAATTTTTGAATTATCTGTCTCAAGAACATGTATGTACTAGATACAACTATTATGTTTGTCACGACCCAAAATTTCACATTCTTTTAAATACAGCTAATGAATATGAACTTCAAAGTACTAATGTTTGTTCATATATGGTGATCTTAAAGTACTATTTTAGTTCAGTGGATTCAAACAGAGAAGGTTCTAAACTGGAGGAGTTTTAAGTAAAGCTTTCTCCAATAAATTCACTTTTTGGCTAATCATGTATAGAACTGGAACTTTGTAATCAAGTATTGCATAAATCTAGAGTCAGTTTTAAAAAAATAGGGCTATGCACTGCTTGGGTTCAAAGTGAAAAAGGTGCTTTGGAGCACGTGTGGAGTGCATCGTACCTGTCAGCAACACCTAAACATGCTTTATCCAGGATTCTCTTGCAGCTGCAAAGGGCAATCACACAACCCAGAGAAAATGCAGTTTTAAGAAGATGCTGGCAAGTACTACTATCATGTTTTCCCGAAAGTAAGACCTATCCCGAAAATAAGTCCTAGCTTGATTTTTTGGGAGGTGGGCCTAATATAAGCCCTACCTCAAAAATAAGCCCTAGTTTTGGGGCGAGGCCCACACCTAAAAATCAGTGGGGAGGGTGGAGTGGGGAGGGTGGAGCTTACCACTGCAGCCAGTCCTCCCATGGACAGACACTTGCCTCGCCGGCCCACTTCTTCTGCAGCCAAAGGAGCAGCTTCATTCTGCAGCTGAGAATGGAGCTCCGGCCTGCATCTCGCAGTCAGAAGCCTTTCTGGAAGGCCTCTGCAGCTGAGAACCACAGAAGTGGGCCAGCTGGGCTGGGCAGGGCTGTCGGTGCCAGAGGTGAGTAGAAAAGATACCCCTCGAAAATAAGACCTAATGCCTCTTTTGGAGGCAAAAAATTAAAATAAGATCAGGTCTTATTTTGGGGAAAAAACAGTATATGAATGATGCTGAAGCACATTTTCTCCCGTAGCTCAGGAACACTAAAAACCTCTATCAAAAATTCCCAAATGAATTGAAATATTCTCAGAAAAGCCAACCTTAACATACAAAGATGAAATGTTATGCTTGTTAAAAATGTGAAGATACTAAGTAAGTCAGAAGAAATGATCCAAGGAAAAACAATTTCTTCTTGTCCTGCAGCCTCTGTATGTGACTAAATTTGTTCTGGAACATGCATTAAATGCCACAGCACTTCCTGGGAGGGAGAAGGCATTGTTTTCCTTCTGGTTCTATTAACAGAGATGATTATGATGATGAATTAAATTAATATGTGGGCAGAAAATGCCATAAGGTAAGACAATAATAATATAAATAAGATAACTTTATATTCTATTTTATATATTTTTGGTAAACATGATAAATATTCATATCATCAACTTGCTGTAAAAGTACACTTCGATATAAAGAATTTATAAGCAATGAATATTTTGTGTGATGTTCTAAATTTCAACTTTTTACATTTTTTAAAAAAATCTTTTTTAATTTTAGAATGGAAATATATATATTTATAGTCAGCTCGTGTGTGTGTGTGAAGGAGTCCCTGCAGATTTTACTCCGCTAGTCATTACTGACTATAGGGGGTGGTTTTGACTATTTTATGACTATTTTATATATATATAAAATATAAGCTTGATTGGCATAAGGAATACTAGCAATATTGATAAATTCTTATTAGGATTAGTTGTAATGAGAAACAATATGTTTGTGAACCCAGCAAAGATCCTTAAAACAAGGCAAACTTACAATTCACAATAAATTACAGTATTAGCAGTATATTCTAAATATAAAATCTTAAGCATAAATCAGGCAATCACATTAAAACTTTAGTTTTATTAATAATATCAATAGTATTTTAGTAAAACTGAGCAGCGTGGTGGCTTAGTGATGAAGATGCTTATCTCCCACTTGGAAGATTGAGAATTCAATCCTAGAATAATGGCAGCTATTTCCTTTTTACGACACAAAGAAAAAATATCTGCTGCAAATTCCATATGGTATCAGGAAGGGCATCTAGCCAGTAAATGCTCAGCTGCATCCAGTCATCCCAACTCTACCCCGAATTAAGTGATTACAGGGATGTAAAAAAGGCTCACTGCATTTACTGTATTTGCCACGTTACTCAGTTTGTGTCTGGGTGTTTTATCCTTGGGGTGGACAAGCTTCTGCCTTAGTGTATTCTTGGGTTTGAAGTATGCACCTATGTTGTGTTGGCTGAAGATCCTCCTGAGCTTTTCTGATATTCCTGTAACGTATGGAATGACTATGTTGCTTTGTTTATTCTTTTCTTCTTTGTCTGTTATGGAGAAGCTCCTGCTGGGTCTTTTTTGAGATTTGATGAAGTCCCACTTGGGATAGGCACAAGTTCTGAGGGCTTCCTTGCTGTGTTTTAGTTCTTTTTCTTTTCCATCTTTGCTGGTAGGCAGGACTTCAGCTCAACAGTGTAGGGTTCTGATAACTCCCATTTTGTGCTCCAATGGGTAGTGAGAATCAAAATGTAAATATTGATCTGTATGTGGGGGGTTTCGGTAAATTTCAATGTTAAGGCTTCTGCCTTAATCTTTACTGCAGTCCGGGAAGCCTAGATTATTTTCCTTAACATCTTTGAATTTGATGTATCTGTCCACCGAGTTGATATGTTGGTGAATCCTTCCAATTCCTGTGTTTTGATCTTGACCCAAGTATCGTCCACATACCTATACCAGTGAATGGGTGGAATTCCTATGAAGGAGTTTAGGGCTTTGGTTCTACCTCTTCCATGTAGAGATTGGCCACAATGGGGGACACAGGTGAGCTCATGGCGCAGCTGGGTTTTTCTCACAGATAAGCCTCCAGAGCAGTGTTTCTCAACCTTGACAATTTTAAGGCATGTGGATTTCAACTCCCAGAATTCCACAGCCAGCAATGCTGGCTATGGAATTCTGGGAGTTGAAGTCCACATGCCTTAAAATTGTCAAGGTTGAGAAACACTGCTCCAGAGGCTTCAACAACTAGCTAAAGAATGCTGTTTGCAAAGAGTATAAATCCTGCCATTCTCCACTATCCAGTCAGAGCTGAAGAAGCTTCTTGGATGAGAAGCGAAACATCTTCAAAGAAAAACAAGAAAGTCCAGTTGCCTCGTGAAAAAAAAAGCATATTTGGGACTTCCTGTCAGCAATTTTGTTTTCTAAGCATGCCTGAGTACTAAGTTTCACTTTTTGAATTTATGGTTTCATTTTGCTTTTTGCCTCAAAAGTTGATTAGTGGTTGCTGATTTATTTCAACCTCCTGCTGGATTCTAAACTGTTTTTACTTTTTCTTTATTTTTGATGTATGTTATTCTGGATAACTTTTGTCCCCTTTGTATGGAAACATGGCAGCATTCGGGAGTGGGGGGGTTGAAATGTTTTAAGACTCTCATCACTGGATCGCTGTAATTTTTGAATTTGAAAAATATCTGCAGTTCATTTTTATTGAATTTTCTTATAATTTGGATTGATATACAGAGGAAAACATACTTTCTTTATTCTTTGTTCCCTGGCGCAGTTTCAAAGATTAAAATGGCTGAACAGTGGCTGAAATCTAAGAAAAGGAAAGCAAGGGAATATGCAGCTTCTAGGAGTATTTCTCTTTTAAAAGCTTGATGAGACAATAATGATTTTGCATTGCAAAATATGTTGGGGCTGGAGTGTATTTCATCTGTTGCTCCGAAGTTTAAATCTGCATATTGCTACAATATCAGGATTCTAATTGAAAGGGGAAGCAACAAATTCCTTTCATCTATGAAGACTGAGGGGGACTGGATGGATTTTATTACAGTTAACTGGTAACCACTTCTGGAGACTGAATCTATTATACTTAAGTACACAATTGATAACAGATGGCATTAAGAAGTAAACGTGGATATTCGATCCAGGACAAATTATTTATAATTTTTGGGTTGATTTGGAATAGATAAAATACTGTAGTAAACTTTCTACAAGTGGATTACAATAACAATTTTGTTGAACTTTAAAACTTTAATTTTGTTTTGTTTTGGTATTATTATTCTTTCTGTTAACTACTTTGCAACTAATATAACATATAGAAGACAGGTCAATAATTTGCAAATAGATTTAATAATTTAAAGGCCTATTTCGCAAGGGGTGGGAATTAATGTTGTAATGTATTAATCAGTATTCAACTAGAGAGGATAATATATGTATATGTGGTGTTCTTTTTTTGATGCACCATTTTTAATGTTTTGTGTTTTTTGTCCTTTTTTCTGTTTTCTTTTGGATTTTTTAAAATGTATACATGTATGTATGTATGTATGTATGTATGTATGTATGTATGTATGGGCCATATCCGGAGGATCTGGTCCACGACTCGGCGGAAAATCAGGCGGCGGCTTGGGAGACAACTGCCGCCGCAGCATTGGACCGAGTCGTGCCTTTGCGGCCTCTGACCCGACGTGGATCTCGACCATCTCCTTGGTTTACCGAGGGGCTGAGAGAGATGAAACGTCGGAAAAGACGCCTGGAGAGCAGTTGGAGG